GTCAAGAGCCAGTGAAACAGGTGAGAAGACGACACCACCACCGCCGCCGCCGCCGCCACCACCACCACCACCACCACCACCACCACCACCACCACCACCACCACCACCACCACCTCCACCTCCACCTCCACCTCCACCTCCACCTCCACCTCCACCTCCACCTCCCCCTCCACCTCCACCACCACTACCGCCTCCACCTCCACCTCCACCTCCACCCCCACCCCCACCCCCACCTCCACCTCCACCACCACCACCACCAACAACCACAACCACAAAAACGACGACAGCAACAACGACAACACAACAACAACGACGAAAACAACGACAATAAAGATTTCAGCGACAACAACTACGACAATGACAACCACGACAGCCACAGCAACCTCATAAACTACCGCAGCAGCCGCAACAGCAACCGCAACAGCATCAGTAGCAGCACCAGCATCAGCCACAGAAACAGCGAAAGCAGCAGCATGCACAGCAACAGCAAGAGGAGCAGGATCACGAGGTGCAGAAGCAACAATAAATAGCAACGTCAGCGACAGCGACAGAGGCACCCGCAACCGAAACACTACAAACAAGAAGCACAGCAACCGCAACCACCGTTTGCGAAGAAGCATTGCCTTATGGATGCCGAAACTGCGAAAGCCACTTTTCGTCCTCGCGGCAATGCCTTCCACAGAACGCAAGCAACTCTTGACTCCTGAGTACACAGGCTAGCGAAGTCCAAGTACTGCGCCAGGCGCGAAGTACTTCTTTCTTCGAGAACACCTTCGAAACTATTTCCTGGGGTCGCTTCTGCCTGCCCCTGGGCATTCGCATTGCTTCCTGCTTTGGGGCAGGGAGTGCGGGATTGAGGGTGACTTGGGGGCGGCCGGGAAACCTTGGTTTTGGACAAGTTCATTGGAGCTGCTGGATGTGATTTCGGAGTTTGTGAGCATCCAGTCACATGGGCTAGGTTCCCCAGTAGTACCCTTTTGCCTTTTTTCTTTCTGGGGTCCCTGAATAAAACCAAATAGTAGGAAAAAGGGTACCCTTATTATTTAGAGGCTACTGGGGAACCTAGCCTGGGTGCAGGCCAATGTCTGAATCTTCCCTTCTGTGAGTCATCGTTTACGACAATTTCTAGGACTGCCTGGCCCCCGAAATCATGAAGCGAGGCTTCTGTTGACTTATGCGTGCCGGACCGCCATTGCTTCCGTCTTGCTGGTGGCTGGCATCTTATGGCTGGCAAGGACTACTTCCATTTCGGAGCTCATGTTGAATGCGGTGGCGCTAAATGCAATTCTAGATGTCGATGAGTTTCTCTTTGTGGGCATGACGCCTATTAAAATCCAGCATGCCATCCAGAGCCTGGAGCCCATGAAGGTGAAATACAGCCGGCGGCGGAGTGAATGCGAATCCATCGTGCACTTCATTTCTTTGGTGGCTCTGGTCTCTTGCACTTATTTGTTCCAGCTTGGGCCCCTCACGGAAGCCATGCTCAGCTTGAAGAACGAGCTTTGCGGTGGCGACCAAGGCTTCGTGGTGGGCTTCAACCCGGAAACTCAGCTAACTCATGCTCTGAACACACCGAGCAGTTTGGACATCGGCAGAAATCTGACTATGAGTGAGTTGGCCGTGGAATCGCACAAAGCCACCTCGCCGGAGACGACACCCGGACAATTTCCAACCTACCTCCTCTTCTCTACGGACAAGAACACATTCAGTAATGACAATACCCGAAGCATCGAGCTTGAGAGTGGCATGATCCCCTTCTGCATCGAGACTGAGATTATGAACCCAGCTGGTCGATATCACAACGACACAGCACTGATACCCTGGACGTCCATTCTCATCAGAAACTCCGCAGCCAGCGTCGGACTCCATGATGCGCGAAGTTGCGAGGAGATGCGTGGCATGTGTAGCGGCGTGGAGAGCCGTTTGTTGCGCATGACGTGCGGCGAGACATGTGGATGCACAGATCCGTACAGCAGCCCCTTTTACAAGGTGGCAGCTCAAGGATGTGCCCCAACATGCTTACAGCTTGCCCAGGCGAGTTTGAGCGGAGGCTCCTGCGAAGATGCAGCCACTGACGCAGACTGGCAGGCTTTCTGGACAACCTTTCCTGAAGCGGTATCGTACTTTTATGGTACAGATGTGACGCAAACGGCTCTCTGGCCGATAGCAAACCAAACAGTCCAGGCACTGCGGCAAGACGGTTGTGCAGCGCTCACACGGTTTCCGACTGACGTGATGACCAATGCCGAATGGTGCTCCGGGATGCCACAACTCTTTCGCCCTTTGTCTGCCCTCTGTCCTCGAAGTTGTGGCTGTGGGCAACGAGCGGATCTCACGCATTGCCCCGCCAGCTGCGCCTCTGGCAACTCCTCGAATTGACATTCATTTGATGTACACGCCTGTCCGTGTGCGTCTCGCGAAGCGAGCGCTCCGCTCTGAAACGGGAGTCCTAAGTTTATATGCACCATGCAGGATAAGTGAGATTTTTATTGTTATGATTCCCATTTTGACGGATTATTCATGTTGGTTCGTTTTTTACGTGACGTCGGTATATAGCTATGCAAACAAACGTAAACACATGTCAAAATTGTACATGTCTGTCTGTATGTTTGTATCCAAGTATGTGTACGTGTAAATGTTTGTGCATGTGTATGCGCATGTGTGTGTGTGTACGTATATGCATATTTGTATTTACATGTGTATGTATATATATATATACATATATGTATATGAATATATATATATATATATATATGTATATGAACATAACACTTGTGAGGGTAGTCGGGGCTTCTTTAGGGTGTTTGTGAGTGAGCATATAGTTCGGGTGCTATGTTATGGCTACTGCACGATACGGCTAATGAGAGAGCTTCTTCACAGGACTCCTCGCGACCTGTATTCCTGTGGGACTGGGTGCAGCCCGCACGGCTTCGTCGGAAGCAGCACACGCAAGGCATCGTCGGAAGCAGCATGTGCTGTTTTTGACAGAGCAACGCCAGCAGAGCTTCGAGACAGGCAAAAAGGGACAACATGTGAGATGTGGTCGAAGGCGCAACCCAAACATCAGCCAGTGAAGCCTGAAGTTGAGCATCGCACTTGGGTCTTTGCAGGAATGAGCACATGTGTCCAGCAGACGAGTACGAGAGGTATTCGAGCTAGAAGAGATCCTCTCACTGGCAGGACTTGCGTCGTACTTCGATCTTGGGAGCAGAGTCACGCCAGAGTGTGCCGAACTCGAGGTACAACAATGTGTGGGTTACTTCTCCCCGCCTACAGTTTTAATCACCTGCACCAGAAACGTAGAACATGTTCAACCGATGAAGGGTCACACCAGCAACGAACCAATCCTTAGCTTGTTTGAGAGCTTCCGTAGTCGGGCACTGCAGCTCAGAAAAAGTAAGGCTGTCATCCTTCATCCAGAAACGAACGAACGCCCACTTGTTACGTTGGATTTCTGTATTTGCTTTGTCGTAGCATCCAGCACCGAAGAGCACCACCAAGCACGCTTTAATGCAACTTTGATAATGTCCATGCCATGCCAGGCCACGCCAATGAATGTAAGTCCCGAGAGCCTAGAGTCTACAAGTAGACACAAGCTGAGACGGATAATTGTTTAGTTGTCACATGGTCATGGGACCGCTCATTTCAATTTCACGGCCCAGCTTTTGCGTGCAGAAAGACTCTTCAAAAGACCATAGGAAGGATCGCCGAACTGGCTCGTGATCATATTCGGTATATTATACTACAACTATAATAAGGAATCCCCATAATATATATATTGGTAGTTATTTAGGTCCCTATATTAGGCAACTTCATATTCGTCTAAGATCGACTCAAGTGGCAGCCATGCCGGCGCCAACCATTCCTGCCGGGTCGAATCGTGCCGAAGAAGATATGGATTCATGGAAGGCTCAGGGTTTAGGGTTTAGGGTTTAGGGTTTAGGGTTAGCAGCTGGGAATGACCCGACCTAGCTCCGAACGTGCACTTGAAGCAGCGCAGTGCTGCCGAGTTCCAGCAGTAAGTTTGCACTAAATACTTACAGTCTTAAGGCCGAGAAAAGCGACAGAGCTTCGATGCACTATCAACTGTAAGCACCGCTCTGCTTTTGCCATACACCATAAACCTCATCCTACCTCATTGACTCTAAGATTCCGGGGCAATACGTCTTTGAGGCCCCAATCCCCGGCACACCACGTATCTTCGATGCCCCGACAGGAGCCAGGGAAGGTCAGGAGCATAGAGCTGGAGCTCCCAGATGACCGGCTTTCTGTGATGGAGCACGAGCTGCCGGGTGAAAGCCTGCGCTGCTTCGGGTATAGAGGGCTTTAGGGATGGAAAGGCGTAACTTTTGGCGTAGTTTCTGTTTCTGACTCTGCACACCCAGGTTTGCTTTGTGGCGGAAGCAGCTGCAGTCGGAGCTGCAGCAGGTCACGGCCCGATTGCAGGCCTCCCGGCTGAACCTCTCTGTTCCATTTGGACTCGGTTTCCCCAGCCCAAGGGCCATTTCGGATCCATTTGAGGCCTGGCATCCCAATCCTCAACGGCCCTTCTCGTATGTGCTTAGTCAAAGCCATTGTGTCTCCATAAGCCCAAGAAACCATATCTAAGCCTACACCCTCTGAAGTCCCTCAAACTGTCGGGGCGACCCCGGACGATTTCTGGCATACTTCCGCACAGGGCAGGTGTAACATAGGGTCTCGAATAATTACCATGTTTATTCTGTACAGCTCCTTGAGAAAACAATACCACTACATGCCCCCTAAACCCTACTCCAATTATTCCAGACTGCAGCGGCACTCCAGGCTCTCAATGGGTATAATAGCAGTTTTGGCCAGCATAAGCTATTCCTCCTGTTGGGAAACGAGCGTCGGTACGTTTTGCTTGAGTTGCGGCATGTTGGTAGATAGTTGCTCCTCTGAACAAAGAGGTTTCTGGGTGTGCCTACCCCTTACTCTTACCGGCTGCTAGCAGGAATTGTAGCCTGACTGCCCCCAGACTCCTTGTGGTGTTGTCAAAACTGACTACTAAACCTATAGTAGCCAGTAGACTTCAGTAGACTGCCTTCGATGTTCGCAATGCCCGCAAGCTACAAGCACTCAGCTAGAGGCTCTAAACCTCGAAAATCACCAGCTGTTGTCCCGCAGTGCTGCTACAAGTTTGCCATATGGGGGTTTCCGAAAATAGGGGACCCTAATGTAGCACCCTAAATAATCGGATCCTTATTATAAGGACCCAAAATAAGCTACCCTAATTTTCGGAAACCCCCATATGGGCGACATAAATGGGATCGTTGAGGTCGTGGAGGCACGCCTAAATGCCGGCAGCCAAACGGTCAAGGCAGACCGGGGAGTCTCGTGGCATATCGTTTCTATTCTTGCATGTGGGGGCTTCCGAAAATTAGGGGTTCCTTATTTTGGGGGTCCTTATAATAAGGATCCTATTATTTAGGGTACTATATTAGGGTCCCCTATTTTCGGAAACCCCCATGTGGGGCTTCGGAAGTTCGGGGAAGTTGGGCCGGCAGGGCCGGTGAATGCCCGTGCTCGAGTCTCTGAAGGTATGTCGGGCTCTCGGTCTCAGAAAGTCTGAGCAAACCCTGTGTTTCCTCACGGGATGCCGCCCACAGTGCTCGAGACGGAAAGCTGCCACTCGTACAGGTTCAGACTGGAATCGTGACCCGTACCCCGCTCCTGATAGCTTTGAGCAATGATCGGCTACGGCTAGTTAGCCTTTCTTTGCGGCGACAATGTCTGTTGCTGCTGGTGCTTTTTTAATCACTAACTTTAATCACTACTGGGTTCCCACGGCTTGCTGCAGGCTGATGCTCCCACTGATGAGACGAAGGTCGTCCACGACTACAGTCTCCCTCTTGACACGGCGACCCTGAGCCTGGAGGCAGTGTTATAGGGTCTGCTTCAAGGGCCACAAGCATTCCTTCGCGTCCTACGAATTTTCCTCTGCTGTAACCTGCTATGAACCGGCCGGCTCGTGAAGCTTCCCCACAGATCGTCGCGGTCGCCCTGTGAACACAAGCAGACTTTGCACATGTTAGCAAACCCAAGCATACCCAACCCAGGAATAGAGTCATTCTGCCCCAAGGTGCATGATGCAAACCAGGCCGACACGGAGGGTGCAAGCGGCCGGAGGTCAAGTCGGAGCAGCAGGACCTTGGCTTGGGCTCCAAGGATCTTTTGACCCGCTAACTGACTTCTAGCTGTCAGCCTTAAAGCTCCAGGTTCAGAAGAGCTTGATAGGTTGATTGAAGGGTCGGCCTGGTGTTTCGGCGTTGAAGGTTTTGAGGCTCGGATAAGGATTGCGAATGCTTTCTTTCGTGTCTATGTGGTGCTCGATTTATCTTTTCCGTGCCGTGATTGCTCCCCATTTTATGATTTTCTGTTTCACAAAATCCAGAAATACATCCAGGATGGTTCAGGAGTTCACCGAGGTGTCGTTCGAGGAGAGCGCCTGGAGTATTCCACTCGTCGCTGGCCTGATCGATGTTGGCATTGTCGACACGATGTTTGCAATTGCCTTGGTTTTTCTGAACCTTTTGATGCAGTCAGCGTTTTCCATCATTCTGCTGACCCCTGGCTTCATGGGTGATGAGTTTGAGAACAAGATCCAGAGCGCCCAGATGTGGCGGACAAGCGTGGCGCATGATGAGAGGTGGGATTTACCAAACTCTCCATCGAAGTGCCCTTGGACCTAGTGTTCGCAGCAGTGCCCCGCTGCCTTCAGGTACATGGATTTAGCCGGCACCAGCTTGGTTACTCGAGTTTGCAACGGCGATGGGTCTGTGATTCTATCGACTGTGCAAGCCACTCTGGTTGAGCATGTCAACAGCTTCCTGGGCATGGAAAAGGACGAGTTTACTCTTCCGGCTTTCCGGCCGGGAATTCTTCTCTGCATGCTCTGCATTGTGCTTTGGACGTTGTGCATTCTCAAGGAGCGCTACTAGTAAGCCCCTAAGGCTTCCGCAGCCAGGGCCGGCGAGGTCCGAGGTGTACATGGGGATTTCCGAAAATAGGGGACCCTAATATAGTACCCTAAATAGTAGGATCCTTATTATAAGGATCCCAAAATAGGCCTACAGCAATCAACATCAAGCTTGTCCGCTCCTGGTGGAGCGGACGCTCCAGCACTTGCTTTCTCACCCCAAGTCACTTGAATTGAGAAAGCAAGTGCTGGAGCATCCGCTCCACCAGGAGCGGACAAGCTTGATGTTGATGGCTGTAGGCCTTGACATACAATTGAAGTGGCTGACGTTGCCCATGCCATGAAAAAATGGCTTCTCACATGGCCCCGGTCCCTTTGATGTAATTGAGAGCAGTGAGGGAACATGCCTCGTTTAGAGTACCTTGTCCCTACAACCCTTGCG